TATATAATACTATTTATTTATTTATTTATTCATTTTTATTAATTTATTTATTTTTTTAAGGTTTATTTTTTAAGGTATATATATATATATATATATATATATATTTTTTTTTTTTAATTAATTAATTTATTTTTTTAAGGTTTACAATGCAAAAAAATTTGTAAATAAAGCAAGTCTCTCTTTTAATATATCTACAAAAAAATATTACTATACAAACTTGTATTGTAAAAAAATGTATTGTAGTATTGCGAATAAATCATAAAAACATTTGCATATTAGTCAATAATGTTACTGAAACTAATATAAAAACCCAATAAATAAAATATGTACACACATTTACTACGTAAATCAATAGACTTAATGATAGGCCATACAATATGTGACAAAACTGTAAATTAAAATGATTTTAGGATTTAGGGATGCACCGTATTTTTGACCACCAAAAATTATCGGCTGAACATATATATATATATATATATATATATATATATATATATATATATATATATATATTAGGGATGTAACGGTATTGTAAATACCGTCATACCGCAATATTAATTTTTTCCGATATTACCGTAGTCGCATGACTCGGTAAAACTATAGGTCTTCTGAGAAAATTTGCTCAGGCGAATGAAGCGAACGGGTGGTACCGGAAACTACAATTCCCATCAGCCCAGGCTTGGCCATCATCCCTTGCGGTCTGTTGTCGCTACAGATCCAGTAATGCGGAAATGGAGTGTGCTGCTAGAAGCGGGGATGAAAAAGAGCTGGAAAACCCTAAAGCGGGTGTTGTCGCCGCGCGCGTACTGAATAGTGGTGTTGTCGCGCGAGTTCTTATCAGCTGTGTTGTCGCGTGAGTTCTTATCAGCTGTGTTGTCGCGCGAGTTCTTATCAGCTGTGTTGTCGCGTGAGTTCTTATCAGCTGTGTTGTCGCGCGAGTTCTTATCAGCTGTGTTGTCGCGTGAGTTCTTATCAGCTGTGTTGTCGCGCGAGTTCTTATCAGCTGTGTTGTCGCGTGAGTTCTTATCAGCTGTGTTGTCGCGCGAGTTCTTATCAGCTGTGTTGTCGCGCGAGTTCTTATCAGCTGTGTTGTCGCGCGAGTTCTGATCAGCTGTGTTGTCGCGCGCGTACTGTAAAGCGGGACGGAGGGTATGTCGCGTCGCGGGGGCACTTTTGATCATTTTGGAAGGGAACTTTCTATCCAAGACTAAAAAGGGCATGTGCACTGCACAGGTTGAGCACTGTGTGTGCACGTGCCTGCAAGTTGGGGAATACGACTAATAATCAGTCATGGGGACTGCAGAAACACAGCACACTGTTCAGATTGATGCTGACATGAGACCTCTATCTCACTCATGGTTTGTCCTCTCTAGTGGGGGAAAGACAATGCACAGCGTTACCCACTGCTGTCAACCTGGGCCAAGTCATATCTCTCTGTCCCAGAAACCTCAGTCCCAAATGAGAGGGTTTTTTTCTGTTGCAGGGGACATTGTAAATGCCCAGAGATACCAGCTTTTACCAGATTATATTTATATGATAATTTTCCTTTAAACCCATCTCTATCTAAGTGAGTGAGTGATTAAATGTTGAATGTGATGAGTTTTCAATAATACTAAATTGAAACTTTATTTTTTTTACATGGTTTAATAATTTTTTGTTATTAAAATTGAAGTTCCTGTTTCAAAGCTTACAGATAAATGGCTAATTTGTATGTCATTGACACTTTTGGCACTTTTTTGGAGTATTTTCATAAGTTTTGTTTTTCCTGTAAATGATTCAATAAATACCGTACCGTGACATTCATACCAAGGTATTACCATACCGTGAAATTCTGATACCATTACATCCCTAATATATATATATATATATACCCAGTTGAAGTCAGAATTATCAGCACCCCTGTTTAATTTTTCCTCCAATTTCTGATGATCATGATGGTTTGTTCTGTAGACTATCAAAAAAATATTTAGCTAAAGGGGCTAATAATATTAACATTAAAATGGTTTTTAAAAAATTAAAAACTGCTTTTATTCTGGCCAAAATAAAACAAATAAGACTTTCTCCAGAAGAAAAAAACATTATCAGACATACTGTGAAAACTTCCTTGCTCTGTTAAACATCATTTGGGAAATATTTAAAAAAGAAAAAAATACAAAGGAGCGCTAATAATTCTGACTTCAACTGTATATACACACCTATATATAAGGTGTGAACTACAGGGAAGCTCGGCTCCCCTAATTAAGGCATGGGCGCCCCTGAAAACATGATTTGTGAAATTTTGGGGGCGTCTCAAAAAACACTGACTGTGTTATTTTGATATGCGGTTTCAGTGTTCAGTACATGTAATGTGATCATGGATTATTATGTGTAAAAGTGCAAAAATATAATTCATTCATGCATGACGGCGATTTACACCTCACTTAAAAAAAGATAACTACAAGCTATTCTTGTCATGAGCATCAAGGTGTGGGGGCGCTGCGGAGCAAAGTCCAGTGATGTTAAAGACTGACAGCCAGATGCTGCTTATTCATTTCTTGAAACAAATGATGTGGTGTTGTTTTGTTTTATTCGTGAAAAGAGTGAACATTGAGATCCCATGACATTCTCTAGGCCTATGTAAAATAAAATAAAAACATATGCTCCCATTGGTGCCATCAGAGACTCTCAAGATCAAAGCAACACCCCCTTTATTTATCTAAAAGAAGTTTAATATTAGTATGAATATTGTTATTTCTCAAACATGTGGGGCCTGTTTCAGTAAGGAGGGTCAAACAACTCAGAGTTTAAACTTGATTTACCGAGAGGTTAAAAACTCAGAGTTTTCGGTTTCAGAATAGCTGATCTAAGTTAGATCAATCAACTTTGAGTAGACCAACTCAGAGTTAAGCACGCACACCGTGACTATAAAAAGACATTATAAATGGAGCACAGATATTACGAGTGACTATGGCAATATCTTATAAAAGAGATCATCATTTCTTTCTCCAGCTGAACTTGATCTGATCATGCAAAGTTATAGCAAATATGAGTGTATATATTTGAAAAGAAGCAACCATCAGTGAAACAGAGACAGTTAGCCTGGGAAAACAGCTGCTCAAGTTAATGCGTAATTTTTAATTTAACGTTTATACTTTTTTCTAAACTTTTATACACGTTTATCAGTTTTAATTGATTTAACAGTGCACTTGTGTGTCTGCCTTTTACTGATCAAGTGGTAGAGGTTGATATAACATTTTTAAAGGTAAGCAGTGCTAAAAATAATTTTTAGACAGAATAATAATCCCATTAATCTAGTAACAGTGCATGTCGAAGGTTAAGCTAATTATTTATGAAAAAAAGGACAAGCCTTGTACGTGACTTTGTTTTGTGTGTGACTAAAATGTAGGCAATAGCTGTGTTTCCATCAAAATATAGGCTATTACATAAATTTGTGCAAAACTGGGATAACGCCTAAAAGATACGAATAAAGCAGCGTATTATCCAACGAGTCAAAGAGAACACAATCAACACTTCCATTAAAAAAATTAAAAGAGTTGATTAACTTGCGCCAAATATCAACAGTAAAAACAGAATTTACTGCGATTGAATAAGCTGCGTCGATGACTTTTTATTTAATTAATGTACTTGCGCCTCAGAAGACAATTGACTCACAATGAACACGTGGGGGCGTTTAAATCCAGACACGGAGACTCTTGACACGCTCCAGACGCTCGGAGGTAATTAATAATATACACTAAAACTGAAACAGTTAAGACTAAAACAACATTTAAGATGTTCTGCAGTGTGCTCAGCCTGCTGGTTTGTCCATTCACACACATTTTCATCATCATCTCTAACAAACCTTTTTTAATGCACATACTGTAATTTGTTATGTGCACTTTGTAGTTTATGCGCATCTTTTCTTATCAAATAAAAGTTTAACCTACTGAGTTATGCACATGTTATATTATGCGTATTTTAAGTTATGTGCATCATGACGTTTCCATCAATCGTTTTTATGGGCATCTCCAAAATGAGCTCTAAAATAGGTGTGTGGAAACGTAAGGCTAAGGCGAGAAATACGCTTCATCTTTAAAAAAGGGGAGGAGACCGACAGAAACTCAGAGTTTAAAGAATAAAACCTGCTCCCGACCAGGTTAGATTCACAGAGTAAGTTACCATGGTAACTGACTCTGAGTTAAAGTTACCTCTCTTTCAGAAACAGGCTTGACTTACCCTGCTTTCTCGAGTTTAACAAACCTGCCATTTTGAAACGGAAAACCCAGAGTTTCTCTCATTTCAGGGTTAAAATACTCTGAGTTTTCACTTAACCTCCTTTCTGAAACAGGCCCGTGATGTTCCAATAACATATTGTTATTGAAAACAATAATATTGTTTAGTTTGTTTGTTGGATATCTATGTGCTTGGACTCAGTGTGGGCCTAGTAATTAGAGATGCGCGGATGGGCTATTATTTCATCCGCAACCGCTTCATAAAACTCATCATCCGTCCGCCATCCATCCGCACTAACTTTTTTGACCAATTTTTAAAACCGCACCGCCCGCCATCTGCTGACTGAGCTCTTTATTTGAATGGCTTATTCCTTTTTATTATTAAATGAATCTTTCTTTATTGATTATTAGAAAATAGAGAATGACTTTAATGACATGCAGTTAATCCAAACGTGCAAGTCAAATCCAGCATTAATTGACGCTTTGAAGTGACGCTAAACAATACGAGGACGTGTCTTTTCACTTGATTCCATTCCTCGGTCGGTCCTTGAGTTTTTTTTTTTTGCGTCCTTCCCTCGCATCCTATAGGGGTGGAAAGACGAGGAAAGAAAGCAAGGGAAGGAAACGAGGATACACAAATAAGAAATGGGAAGCACCCCTATAAAGCTCTCAGAATATCAGCAGTGAACTCCGTCTCCAATCGGTGCACAGGGACAAAAATAAATAAATAAATAGCCTAAATGAAACGCACTGTACTGTACATTTTTTTTATTATAGTAGCCTAATAGAAAACGCATTTTGACACATCATTTCAACATTCAGACGAGAGCGCCTGGCCTCTAATGCGCCCTGCTGCACTGAAGGAGCGCTCGCTCGCAGCACTTGTAGCTGGAATGCATAGAATTCTCTTGGCAAGGTGCTGTAGTCGTGGGAATGACTGCCTTGTTTCTCCCAAAAGGAAAGTAGATTTTCCTCTGCTGATCCGTCTATTCTTAATTTTGTAGAGGAAGACTTCTGTACTTCATCCAGAATTAGTGTATCCGATTCCTCCTCTCATTCTGTGAAGTCAGTCCTAGGCTTTTTCGTTGGTGCGCCAGCTATGTGTACAAAAACAGTACAACCGCCCGCCACCCGCCCGAATTTAATTAAAATATTATTTTTCGTCACGTCATCCGCCCGATCCGCCCGATCCGCGGTTTATCCGCGGATTCCGCGGCTGTAACCGCCATCCGCGCATCTCTACTAGTAATAACCTATAATCAATGTTGGGTAAAGTTGCATTTTGAATTTATTTGTATATGTTACTTTAAGATTAAGATAGGCTTTAGATTGTACTTTTTAATAGTAACTTTACCCAAAACCCAAAACTATTGTTAAGTGTAGTTTTCTGCAAGCTGAACTTTGTGAGATTTTGTACACAGTGCGGTCAGGAAAGTCTTGTAAATGTCGGTAAGTGTGTGTTTTGTGTGTTTGTGTTCAGGCATTTCGCGTGTCTGTCCTCCAAGTACATGTGTCCTGGTGTTCCTGCGGTTATGAGCACACTGTTGGCCAACATTAATGCTTATTACGCTCACACAACACAGTCCTCCAACAACGTCTCTGCCTCCGACCGCTTCGCTGCCTCCAACTTTGGGGTGAGTTCAGCTTGCCGTCAGATCATCCACATGTTACATAAACCTCAGAATGGAAAACCTTTTTTTTTTTTCTCTCTTTCAAATATTTCCCAAATGATGTTGAACAGATTCAGGAATTTCACAGTATTTCCATAAGTCTTGTTTGTTTTATGTCGGCTAGAATAAAAGCAACTAAACTATAAAACATTTTAAAATCAGTATTATTAGTCCTATTAAGCAATATTAGTTTTGGATCATCAACAAAACAAACCACTGTTATAAAATGACTTGCCTAATTACCCTAACTTTAACCCAATTAATCTAGTTAAGCCTTTAAATTGCAGTAGTTAACGTTATTTTTAACAGTTTTTATTGCATTGATCAAATTAATGCACTCTTGGTTGAAAAATAAAATTAAAAAGGATATGTTTGTATTTTACATTTTGCACTTTTTTTCCCCACAGAAAGAGAGGTTTGTGAAACTGTTGGACCAACTGCACAACTCCCTGAGGATCGACCTCTCTATGTACAGGGTATATCCACATATTCTTCTTCTTCTACAAAAAAAAAATGTATACAGTGGTAGTGGGTAGTGTTGTCGCCTCACAGCAAGAAGGTCGCTGGTTCGAGCCTCGGCTGGATCGGTTGGCGTTTTTGTGTGGAGTTTGCATGTTCTCCCTGCGTTCGTGTGGGTTTTTCTCCGGGTGCTCCGGTTTCCCCCACAATCCAAACCAACCCAAGCTCATTCTGGAAACGTAGCCCCGCGGACATTTCTGGAGACCGCGATTTACGTGGCCGGAGGTACGTGAGGCAGCGTTTAGTTTTTTTCGAGCGAACACTGCGGGGCGGTGTGGCGCCGCTCCGCCCCTCCTCTTCGCGCTCGCCGGCCGACGGCCTGCCTCCGAGTGGAGGGCTTTCGCGATGCAACCAGTTTGTCCGCTTAGCTCACAGCGTTGCGTCGGCGGAGCGGAGGCCCCGGTGGAGAAGGAGGAAGAGGAGGAGCCGGCCGTGGGGACGACGACCGGGATCGAGTCCGGGGAACAGCAGGTTCCGGAAATTAGGTAAGACGAAAAACGAAATCCAAAAAATAAGGGCGAGAACGCGGCGGGATCCGAAAACGCGGTCGAAATCGAAGACGAGGGCTTTTGCTTTCTTTTTTTTTTTTTTTTTCTGGACGGCTTTTGCGAACCGTCGCTCCGGTTTAGGGAAGAACGAGGAGGAGGAGGAGGAAGAGAAGGGCGGCCGAGTTGGCCGATCCGGCGGCTTTTCGCACGAGAACGGCGCGGGCGCGCGCTCCCGAGAGACGCGAAAAAGCACGCACAGCGGCCTCTCGCAGATCCGCGAAAACAAAAAACGCTCTAATACGTACCTCCCGGGACGTAAAACGTGGTCCGCAGAAACTTCCGCGGGGCTACGTTTCCACAATGAGCCCGGGTTGATCCAAACACATGTGGTACAGGTTAATTGGCTAAATTGTAGTGCTAAATTGTAGTTCATTTTGAACGAATCTTCAATATGACTCGGGAACTACGAGTCCTCTCGGGGAGTGATTCATTCATCCGCGCGTGCGCACATTTGTGCAGGTGGTATCGTTCATTTCAAGTTTTCATCACATTTCGAGTCATTCATCGCAGAAAGGCAGAAGCCAATCAAACGTGTTTAGAGCCGGAAAAAGAATTGAACCGTTCATCTCTCGAATCCTCGGGTTTGAGTCATTATGTCACGTAAATAACGAACGACTCAATACTTGAAAGGTGAACTAATTATCATGGCTCCTATCGGCTAAGACTGTGTACATTGGTTAAGATTAAATGTGACTGCCAGTGTAACGTGAACGAACCACTGACATTAGAAGACATGAAGAGGTGAGCTGAGCAAAGACAAAAATACCTTCATAGACAAAAGAGCAGGTCAAACTTAAAGCATTATTTTCTCCTTCTTATTGTATTCTATTTATGACTTATTTGTCATGTGATCAACCTTTTGGGCTAGTTGTAGATGTGTTTAGAAGCAATTTGTAACATTTTGGCAAATTGAACCAAATGAACGAAATGATTTTAAAAAGATTCGTTCATCTTGATGAACGAGACTCAAAGATCCGAGTCAGTAAAATGATCCGAACTTCCCATCACTACTATATTGTCCATACTGTATGAGTGTGAATGTGTGTTTGTGGATGTTTCCCAGAGATAGGTTGTGGCTGGAAGGGCATCCACTGCGTAAAAATGTGCTGGATAAGTTGGCGGTTCGTTCCGCTGTGGCGACCCCGGATTAATAAAGGGACTAAGCCGACAAGAAAATGAATGAATGAATATATATGAGCAATGTCACACTCGTAGCAGTGCAATATGTCAGTATATCAGCACTGGTGGAAGGCATGCATATGCTCTTAGTGTCCCACCAGTGATGACATACAGGCATATTTCACTGCTACGAGTGTGAAATTGCGTTTATACAACAGTTTGATGGCATAATCTTGTTTATAAAAAAAATCAAACATTGAGAGTCTAGAAAACCCCTTTTTAAGAGGACCTACTTTTTTTCTGCAATTCATTCACATCTGCAGCTGACGTCAGAACAGCAGAAGCCCTTACTAATTCTAATGCTAGTGTCTGAATGATTCTCTAGCGTAATTTCTAAAGTGATGAAAAAACAGCTGATTTTGCTCACACTTTAAGATTATAAGGCTGAACGGTGTGAAATGCCATCAGTCTCTACAGAGATTTCCCAGCGTTTCTCTGTTGCAATCGGGAGAGCACTATGGCATAAATACAGCACAACAGCATACAAAAGAGAGAGATCAACTTAGAGTGTCACTTACCTGTTTTATAATGATTTGTTCAGCTGTAGTTTTTGTAGAAATTAAAAATTGAAATTGTGTAAGTTTGAAATTATGCTAGTTTTAAGGACTTATTCAGATTCAGACATCCCAAATGACGTGACAGGTAACATGCTGCCTTCCCCGCCCACCTCCAAACACTTCTTCAGTCAGGCACACTAGCTCACAAAATGGCTAGTAACGTTAGTGTAATCCTCCTATAGACCCTTTTTCTTGGCAGCTATATAGAGGGCGCCATAGCGACAAGTGTCTTCAGGTAGAATGTTTAGAACTTCCGTTTTTCCGTCAGGCAATTCCTACAGATTCGAACAGGGCAAATCAAATCACAGAGGTGATCGGTACATTTATAGCTGTGGATATGAGAGATCTTCATCGGTAGTGGAAATGTCATGTTAGATAGAGCCCCATTACATTATTCCTTCATAAGTCCATTTCAGTCGGATAATTCCTGCTTTTGGAAAAAGGTGGACACTCATCTTTCTGAAAATAAAAAAATACTTAATAATAGATTGAAACTGAGCTCCATATACAAACTAAATTGTTCTTTTCTTTTTATTTGTTTAACTACTACAATATTACATTTATTTTCTATAGGAAGCTTTTTTGGTTTTGAGTATAAAGAAGGATTTGTTTTACTTGCTGCTAGGCAGAAACGCCAGAAGTATAGCTCTATCACTGTTAAAGTAAAAGAAAAAAAAAACCGAGATCATACTTTTATGTTATGTTAGTTTAATACATAAAAAAATTAAAATCATAGAAATCCTCTGGCTTTTTTCTTTTTTTGCTGTATCGAAAACACTGAACCTAATATATATATATATATATATATATATATATATATATATATA